TATATATATATATATATAATGTGTGTGTAAAAAAATGTGACTTTATTATTATTTTAAGTCTGAACTCCATGCAAGTATAAAAAGCAGCATTTAATATAGTCTTTAAACATGTATTATATCAGCTTACTGTAATCTCCAACATAGACACACACTTACTGGGAGAGGTAGGTGCACAACTGTAAGCCAGTCAGGGCTCTACTGTATTGCACAGTGCTGCTTATACAAACAATTGGAGTATATTGGATTGGATATAAGCTACTGGTCCTGCATGGAGATCATCGGTCAAAAACTAGTGATCTACATTTGGAATTCCAACAGCAAGATCTTCCTGCCATACCACTCATCACTGCCCCTCATATCTTAGCATTTTCAGTGTACTTAAGGGTGTTCCCATTCTCCTGTTACATTCTCCATTATATAACTTTATTTGAAAAAACAAACAAACAATCTGGAGCATAGAATGGACATTTCAGCAGGAGCAACAGATACTTAAATTCTCCTAATTCCCTGTAACCTGTTTTTTCACTAAAATACCATTAAGTGTTAGGTTGCCAACAGGCTCAAGAAGTCAACCTGATATGCATGAATGGTCCAACCTCCATAAGGGAAGCAAAGAAACTGAGCATTGTGGAGAACGCCATAAACTTGCAAGGTCAGCTCCTTGCAAGTTTATGTTACAGCTTCTGGAAAGAGTCTCAGGCACTGGTGCCATTTATGACAACGGTGAACAATAATTATCAGGACAGGGTTTTCTTACCTGTCAATCAACGGGTATATGCCTTCCACAACAGACATGTGATCAGCATTGATGAAACAATGAAAACGGCCTGATCAGTTAACTGGCATCTTGTGTCTATGGGCCACTTTAGTTGGTTGCAAATTGTAGGAGGATATTAAAACAGACCTTTACCCACATGCTCTACAAGTGTAAGTATTTCACAATCACAGGATTCTACACCTGACATGTGTATGTTATTATTAAATCATCATACATAGAGGGATGCATTGGTAGACTTTGATTTGTGAGTGTAATGGTCCGCTTTAAGTCAGAGATAAAACATTTCATACAAACTAGACAATCAGATTTAAATGGCGTTATTCTTTAAACTGCTTAACACAACACAGACTGACAGCGCAAATACAAACCATCAAGGATCGAGGTTTGATAGTTCATGGTCAACAAACCAGTAATATTCATCTTCTGCTTTCCAAAATGATTATTATTTATAACACATGAAGTGTGCTTCAGCTAAAATCAAAACACTGCATACAGTTTGTCTAGAATTATTTCTAGATGAAGGCCCTTTTTAGATGTTGATAAAATATGAGTGAAAGCTGTTTATATAACAAAATGTCAATACATTTATAAGAACACAGAAGAAGAATGCTTGTTTACCTTGTGGAACCTGTCCACCAGCCTTCTACAAGTGTCACATGAGTCCTTCTCTACAGCTGCAGAGGTGCAGAAGAGTACAATGAGGAGCCAAGGGGCCAGGTGTATAGACACAGCAGTCCTTCCTCTGAGTGCCATAATGAGGGATGACTAGCGCTGCACAGATAAATCCATAGGACACACACATGAACAATACAAAAGGGGAGCGACTACACTGACTGCACACACTCCGGCCAAGTACAACATTCATCCATTGAAAGCCGGTCAGTCACTTCCGTATCCGCCCCCCGCGCTCCCTGATTGGCTGAGCGGGACAATTTTCCAGGATGTGGACGAATCCGCTATCGCCACGCTCTGGGCCAATCGTCTCCCCACGTGTACGGACTACAGAGTGACGTGCAGAGGGCAGAACTCATGCTGTGTAACACTGTATAGTAGTAGGTGTGTAGGATCCCTGGACGGGACGACTGGCAGCTCCAAGTCATACAGTTCAGTCTATACATAGCACAAACACAACACTGAAGAAACCAGAGCAAGCTGACTTATAGGTCCACATAGCTGACCAATGAGAAACGTTTCCTGATATGCTGCTGTGGATGAAGACATGTCACCATAATGATTGAGACAAAATGGATCTCAGCCAATCAGCTTTTAAGTTTTAATTTTCTAAGCTGCGAGTGTAAAAAAATGAAAGCTAGAAGCTGATTGGTTGCTATAGGCAATGGCATCAGCTTGGATAGAACTTGTCAGACACTTTTTATTCCTCCCTTGAGCTTGGCACCTAAGGCTGCATTCCAAGGGGACATTTATGTGTGTTCTGGGATTCCTGCGGTAAGAACCTACAGATTCTTGTGGCAGGAATCCCAGATGTGCATGTATCCTATGTCCAGGGACAATCCTCTCTCCTGAGCCACAGGTAATCGCTTGATTTACAATTATATGCGGACTGCCACCCTGCCTCATCTGAAAGGGCACACCTGGGGTCCTGCCACAAGAATCCCTCAATGCACAGAAATGCCCATGCACTCTTCTGTTTTCTAGTTTAAAGTGACAGTAAACCCTCCCATTTTTCCCCATTGTAACTATCCAATCAATTTGTAGCCATTCAGGCAGACTGTTGCACTACATACTTCTTGCTGAATAAAGGAGATTGTGCAGAGAATCGTACGATTGTCGGCGGGTGTGTAGCATGTTCGTAAGATAAATGCCGCACGGGCCGGTGTGCGCAAGCGCACACTGCCCGTTTAGCATTGCGGTCATCGGAAGCCCGCCCCTCAACGGGGCAGGCTTGCGATTATCGCAAGTACGATCTGCCTGTCCAAGATGGGCAGATCGTATGTTTTTTAAATTGCCTTACAACCATCGCAAGACAAAAGTCTTGGCGGGTTTTCGAACATGTTCCTAAGATAAAAGTTGTGTACGATTCTTGGCGGGTTTTCCAACATGTTCCTAAGATAAAAGTTGTGCGACCGTACAGTAAAAACGGTCGCACGCCTTCCAGACACCTTACGATAATCGTACGATCACGGGATTTCCCGCGATTATTGTACGATTATCGCAAGGTGTGTGGGCACCTTTAGGCATCCCTATTTCTCTATGGTGGCAGTGGAACTACAAGCCTCAGTGTGCCTTGGCAGAGTTGTGAGTTCCACCACAGCTGGAGGAACACAAGTAGCCTATTGGGTTTGAAATGCTATTGATTTCTAATGTCATTTCAACAAATAAAGTGTAAATAAATCCCCCACAACAAATTATGAGCACGCAGGGGGTGTTTGCCATCATGGGTTAGTATGCACAGCGTATTATGTCAGACTTACCTTGCAAGCGATCCCTTCCAGCGCTGCCGCTCCTCCCCTGGGTTTTCTGTATTCAGCCTGTTGATTGGCCGGGCTGAGATGACATGTCTCCTGCACATGAGTAATTTCACCTTGGTGCAGTACTGTGCTGAGTTTATACACTAAGCTGTGAATGCGTGGTTTAGTGTATACAAACGATGACTGACAGGGAGCAGCAAATATGATAGAGGAGATATACAGAACCTGCTCTATCATAGAAAAATTCAACATTGCTTCCCGCTTTTACATGAATATCAAGCAGAAATAGTAGCTATAGGCTATATCAAAATTTCATGTGTACATGTACCAGGGTCATCCCTAGACTTTTCACCGCTTGAGGGTACACCTACCTCTGGCCGGCATCCCACCCAGCTCCTGACCTCACTTTATTGCCAGGAGCTGAGCGGGATGCCAGCCAGAGCGCTCTAGGTTGCCAAGAGCTGGGCGGTCCTTACACATTTTCAGCTCTTATCAACCTGTGATGCTCTGGCCACATAGGAGGCGGCAACACTGCAAACATTGTGCAGCAGAGCAGCCATACCCCCCCTACATAACCTAAAGAGATGCCACCTGTGGCAACAGCCTAAGGCTACCTCATTATAGGGATGGCCCTTTGTTTACCAACCTTTTATCCTGCCTTTGCCTCTTTTTTACACATCACTTTATAGCCATGCCTGCCACTCCCATGCTCACGGCCCCTTTCCTGTTCTTGGGTGTATCCTGGACTTTTAGGGGTCCCATGGAGACACCCTCTTAGGCTCACCCTCAGCCTGTGATGGTACAGCCACGCACCTTATTATTGTGACATTAGAGACGAGGGACAAATTTAGAGGGTACACGTGCACTGTTTGATGTAAAGCTAACAGTGGCCCGCATGTAGAGTACGATGAGGGACCCAGGTATGCTGAGGTGAGCGGTCATGTGACTGCTGTGTACTCCCTGTCTTCCCTACCCAGAAGTATGGATACATAAAAAGAAACTGACAAGAAAGGTCAGTGATTGGGTATATATTAACCAAAAAGAGTTCATGCTGTAGGTTTAAATTCTTTTATATAACAAAGGAGGGTTTAGGTCTACTTTAAGGGCCCATTCACACCAGCAGCTCCTCTACAACACCCAAAATAATAAAGTCAACGGCACTCCAAGTATTCAAGTCAATTAGTTTATTGAACCAAGTGAAAACACCTCTAGCAATGTTTCGGGACCATGCGGCCCCTTCCACAGGCAAACTCTCTGTTTGCCTGAGGAAGGGGCCGCATGGTCCCGAAACGTTGCTAGAGGTGTTTTCACTTGGGTCAATAAACTAATTGACTTGAATACTTGGAGTGCCGGTGACTTTATTATTTTGTACATTTTTAACGGAGGCATCCGTTGTTGCTGCTGCACCTGCCCTGCTGCATGGGCATTTTTGGGTCAGGAGTGCGATGGGATACTTGGACTTTTGCCCTACAACACCCAGTTGCTGGTGTGCCAGGCACAGTACGGAATAGCCGATCAAGCCGATCAAGGTGCATCATGCTGTCCACTTCCTTTTTTTTTGTTATAACTTTATTGAAATGTTACCCGTGACATTTCATTATGTACTATGTGGTGCGGTTATGTTATGCAGGCAGGGCTTTTTTTCAGCACGCGCCACTACAATGCGGTAGTCTGAACTGAGCCCATTTGATGCAAGGCAAATCGCCTTGTCTAGAGTTAGGGCTGTACTGGAAAAAGTGGCCAACGAAGCCCTAAGACAACCGATATGAGTGCCCCGAAAGCAGGGGTGGGCAAACTCCGGTCCTCCAGCTGAACTACAAATCACATAGGGCAATGGAAGATTCTCAGAGCCATAGGCATGACCACCTGGGACAGATGCATGATGGGGTTTGTAGTTTCACCACAGCTAGATGGCCAGAGTCTGCCCACCCCTGCACTAAAGTGTATGTATAATCCGATTCCAAATATTTTAAGTTTTGGATAGAGAAGGGAAGAAATAAACCCCGGCCAGGTAATTATTTGCTGACTTTGTACCTCGCCAAGCACCATTTAATTGCTAGTAACGAGGAAGGGGGTCAAACATCCGTTTCTATCCCCCTGTGCGATGACAGCTGCGCAAATAACGAGCGGGCCCTTTAAGAAGCGTCAGCCCGTGACGTTGTGAAATTGTGCGGCATGCTCGGGGTTAATTTCTTAGCCGTCCCGCTTGGCTCCGGTACCGGATAGACGTGGACACGGAACTGACTGCTACACCGGGCAGTGTTGGCTCTACTACTGCTTATGACGCCGCTAGGGGGCGTGCCTTGCCTCCTCCAACATGGCCGAGAAGGGGAGAAGTGGCGGACAGGAGTTCCTGCTGCTGCTCTACCCGGCCGTGGCTTTCCTTCATCTGATCGTATGTCCGTACACCAAGGTGGAGGAGAGCTTTAACCTGCAGGCCGCCCACGACCTCTTGTATCATAAGCTGGACTTGAACAAGGTAATGTGGTGAGTGGGGGGAAGGAGAGCCGGGTATCGCTGTCATAGTAGTAACGTCTGCTGGTCTTCTCTCTTGGCAGTATGATCACCACGAGTTCCCCGGAGTGGTACCCAGGACATTTCTGGGACCGATCTTTCTGACTCTTCTGTCTGGCCCTGCTGTGTTTGTGGCCTCTCTGTTTGACCTGTCCAGGTTTTATTCTCAGCTGATAGGTGAGAGTTCTCTGCTGTGTGTAATCACAAATGTCATGTTGCTCCTGCTTAACCCCTTCATGACTGAGCTTGTTTTTGGTTTCTGTTCGTAAAAAGGGTAAGTCCGATCTCCCTCCAATCTGGCCCCCTCTCAATCCCCCGCTATACTTACCTTTCGGCAAACTCTCCTTCCCCTGCGCCGCTATGAGTATTTTATCCGTACCCTGTACTGCTGTGTAGTGCAGCCCTGCGCTATAGATTTTGAATTTTGCTCACACCTCGGTCAGCGTGGTCACCTGCCCAGATAGCAAGGATAACTTGCTACAAACTTGTGGCAGGGTTAAATTGTAATTCTTGTTAACTTGCTGCACACATTCCTGGCAAGTTGTAGACTTGCAGAACACTTGCAGCACAAATTCTAGTTGACAGTTTTTGAATTTGTAGCAAATTTGCTTGGCAAGTCTACAGCAAGAGTCCTGCAGGTCTTTGCAAGAGCTCTGCAAGCTCGCTGGTCTGGAGACTTGCAATGCAGACTTGCTATAATTGTGCAACACGATTGTGAAGCTTGGCAAGTCTGCAATACTTTAGCAAATCATTTTCAAACTTGCAGCCCAATTGCTTGCTATGTAGGTGACCAATGAGAAGCACTTCTGTCCGCGCTGACCCAATGAGTGCACGCCATTTGCAAGCAAAATTCAAAATCTATAGCGCACGGCAGTAGGGGGTACAGATAGTAGTACTAGTACACCCACAGCGGCGGAGGGGAAGGAGCGTTCGCCAAAAGGTAAGTGTAGTGGAGGGGAGAGGGGGAAAGATTGGAGACGGTAATTCCATTTTCCCAAATTCACTGGGGAAAGTGGACTTACCCTCTAATACAGGTAACAGAATCTGTACTACAAGGATGAGTGTACACAGGGTTCAAAAACTCAAGTCCACTTTTGATGAACACCCCCTCCTTTAAGCCTCCCACCCCTACGTAGGGCTTATCCACACTGACACTAACAAATATGTGTTCTTAGAACATTTTGAAAGGCATATATAAATGCCTGACAGGAGCCGCAGCTTTCCACTGCTACTCACATGTATCCGCACATCCAGCAGTTACTTTCAGCTGGGAACAGATGACCCGCCCTATGAAAATAGGGGATGCCACCATCACATGGAAGAAATGTGGCCAAAAAAAATATCTTCTTCTTGCGTGTTTCACCGATTAGGCTTAATCATAGAGCCTAACCTCTATTATTGAGCCTAATCGGTGGAACCCATAAGGGGACTCTTGTTGTATTGGGGAGCATGTCTGTGGTAGGCACTTTTGGATTACAAATACAAAATGGATTTATTATATGAAGATCTGGTGGTGTGCAGCTATCTTTTGAGCTGAATATTTTCCAGTATGTTGTAGAAAAATCAACAGGGGTTCTATGGGTTATTAAATCTCTTTTGCAGTTGGGAGATTTAACCACTTGTTGGGAGTCGTCACTTTAGCAACCCAATGAAATTCATGCACTATTTATAACATGAGCGTCAACTAGTCTGTAAATGACTTGGTATTAAGAGATGAGAATCTAATGTAGTCCTAGCCTTAGTGACACTACATATTTTAAAGTGCAATTGGCTTTTTTTTTTCTTTTCTTTTCATTAAAGGAATATCTAACTTTATTCTTCTTTGTGATACCTTTAAAAAGCCTTAACACTATGTCAGAACATTTTTTTGTTGTTTTTTTGTCTACTATGTGCAACACGATTGTGAAGCTTGGCAAGTCTGCAATACTTTAGCAAATCATTTTCAAACTTGCAGCCCAATTGCTTGCTATGTAGGTGACCAATGAGAAGCACTTCTGTCCGCGCTGACCCAATGAGTGCACGCCATTTGCAAGCAAAATTCAAAATCTATAGCGCACGGCAGTAGGGGGTACAGATAGTAGTACTAGTACACCCACAGCGGCGGAGGGGAAGGAGCGTTCGCCAAAAGGTAAGTGTAGTGGAGGGGAGAGGGGGAAAGATTGGAGACGGTAATTCCATTTTCCCAAATTCACTGGGGAAAGTGGACTTACCCTCTAATACAGGTAACAGAATCTGTACTACAAGGATGAGTGTACACAGGGTTCAAAAACTCAAGTCCACTTTTGATGAACACCCCCTCCTTTAAGCCTCCCACCCCTACGTAGGGCTTATCCACACTGACACTAACAAATATGTGTTCTTAGAACATTTTGAAAGGCATATATAAATGCCTGACAGGAGCCGCAGCTTTCCACTGCTACTCACATGTATCCGCACATCCAGCAGTTACTTTCAGCTGGGAACAGATGACCCGCCCTATGAAAATAGGGGATGCCACCATCACATGGAAGAAATGTGGCCAAAAAAAATATCTTCTTCTTGCGTGTTTCACCGATTAGGCTTAATCATAGAGCCTAACCTCTATTATTGAGCCTAATCGGTGGAACCCATAAGGGGACTCTTGTTGTATTGGGGAGCATGTCTGTGGTAGGCACTTTTGGATTACAAATACAAAATGGATTTATTATATGAAGATCTGGTGGTGTGCAGCTATCTTTTGAGCTGAATATTTTCCAGTATGTTGTAGAAAAATCAACAGGGGTTCTATGGGTTATTAAATCTCTTTTGCAGTTGGGAGATTTAACCACTTGTTGGGAGTCGTCACTTTAGCAACCCAATGAAATTCATGCACTATTTATAACATGAGCGTCAACTAGTCTGTAAATGACTTGGTATTAAGAGATGAGAATCTAATGTAGTCCTAGCCTTAGTGACACTACATATTTTAAAGTGCAATTGGCTTTTTTTTTTCTTTTCTTTTCATTAAAGGAATATCTAACTTTATTCTTCTTTGTGATACCTTTAAAAAGCCTTAACACTATGTCAGAACATTTTTTTGTTGTTTTTTTGTCTACTAGTTCGAGGATCTTTGGGTCTAACTGTCATTTTCGCACTATGGCAGTTACAGAAAGAGATCCGGAGACAGTTTGGATCCACCGTCTCTACATTGTTCTGCCTAATAACAACATCTCAATTTCATTTGATGTTCTACTGTACTCGAACCCTCCCTAACACGTTTGCTCTTCCTGTTGGTAAGTGTTAGTAAACTGCATTTCACCTATTCAATAGATGTAAACATTACCGTATATACTCGAGTATAAGCCGAGATTTTCAGCCCATTTTTTTGGGTGAAAAGTGCCCCCCTCGGCTTATACTCGAGCCAGCGCGTCATCTTACTTAAATCGCCGAGCGTCGCGTCATTGCTGCTCCGGTGTGCGGCGCTACTGTATATCAGATATTTGATTAGCTGTAAGGATCTGCTAAGTTTGCAAATTCAAGGCAGAAGTCCCAAATTGGAATAAAAGTAAACTTTGTACAGGTTTACTTAAAAGAGAACTATGGGGTAACCTTTTTATCCCATACTTCTCTTAAGGGTCACGGGAGGACATATACTAACCTCCTCCCGTGACCCAAAGCTCAGTATATAGGGAGTTATTGCTGAGAGCACCACAGCCGGGACGGATCCCGACAATGCTGTCGAGATTCACCCAGCTGCGTGAGAGCCAGCTGTGCCCGCCCCCTCCCGTCCGTTTCTCCACTCTGTGCTGGAGGATCGGAGACTGGGGGTGGGTAACCCCGCGGGGAGTGGTGGCCATCAGTCACCACTCTCTGAGAAGTGAGCGAGCGATGGTATGCATTCGCTTACTGCCCGATCTATAGAGCCAACGTGACAGTTTCATTGTCACACATTGGCTTGAACTATGAGGTTGAGTGAAAATCACCCTCAGTTCTCCTTTTAACTATCTGTCGATTTGTGTAACAGACACAAAAAAAAGTTACCATTGAGCATCTGTATTAAAATTGATCTCTACTCTTGAAGTATAAGGTCCTATTCACATGGTACGATTACCTACAGTCTGGGATAGATGATTGTCCCTGGTCACAGACATATTGTAGCACAGAATATGCCAGCTGTTAAGCCTTAATGGGAGGCTTTTAGCTTACATCTGGGCAGAATTGCTCAGGCAAGGAAAGAATATAAGCAAATGGCACCACCAATACAATCCCTGATGGGTAAGGCTGTACTATTAACCTGCTATGTTCTAGGGGAAACTTTAGAATGTTTACTTTGCCAAAGCAGTACCCTGAAAAACCTACCTTACTCTAAAATTCCTCCTGAAAAATTAGCAGTGCGCTTTCTGGTATGTGAAGGTGCCTACAGCCTCATAGCTGTCAATCTGCATTGTGAGATCTAAGGCACTGCCGCCTCTGACTGCTAGTCTTAGAAGATTTGGAGTGAGATTGGGTGACGTCACTTCTGTGCTACTTACTGTTCACCTTGCTTTTGGCTCTGGAAATAGGAAGAAAAACCCTGCCTCTACTAAGATGGCCGTCTATCTATCCTATCTATCCTATCTATCCTATCTATCCTATCTATCTATCTATCTATCTATCTATCTATCTATCTATCTATCTATCTATCTATCTATCTATCTATCTATCTATCTATCTATCTATCTATCGCAGAACAAGGCATGGCCAGCCAGTGATGGGAAAAGATCAGCTGTAGGGAGACCACAGGCAATACTGGTGACTAGTTCTTTGCCCTCTGTCTGCATTTTTTTGGACGAAGCTTCCAGAGTTCAGTTCTTGCTTTGGAGTGGAAATTCATTTTTTGCACATGCTTATTCCTGACTGGTTCTCGTAAAGCTTACTGCATATACTTTGCCAGTTCCCCTGTTGTGCGATCTGTCAGTGAAATGCTCTAAAAGTTTAGACCTAAAACTTTCACATGGCTCTTCAGACTTGCCCCCCACCCCTGCCACCAAAAAACAGGTTTACTTAAAGTGTATGTCTAGCCATTTTCTTCCTTTTTTTAAATTGCTTAGGAATGAGTTGAGATCCCTGTAGGTTATTTTTCTGCTCTCTGCGTGAAGTTTTCCATTCACTTCCTGTCTTGGATATGCAACAGAAATCTCCCCAAGGTGAGACTAAATCCCATCTTAGACAGTTGTCACAGGTACATTTGCTCACATTGGATGATGGAGACAACTGGGTTTCCCCTCACTTGACTCGCCTCAGTGATGATAGTCAGCAAATTATGACAGTGACAAATGTGATTGTGGGCCTAACACTTCCACACTCCATCCAAAACTTAAAAAAAAAAAGAAAAAGTTTTGCCTTTTTTAAATACACTTTTTCAAGTTTTTTGTTTTTTAGTTAATAAGGCTAAATTCCACATGCCTAACCAAAATCACAGTTGAAACATACATGTGAACTGTTTTAGCTTCCAAAAGAATTGTTTTTCTGTTTAGCCTGTCATGTGTTCCAGGCACCCCTTGCTATACAGCAAAGATGGGTATTTGCCCTCTAATGCAGTAAATCTTTGAGGATCTATCCAGAGGGTGACAACTGCAGGCTAAATAGTGGTTTCAACATTTTTAAGACAAGCATGATCCAAATGCCCCACAATCTATGCAAGTGGGTGGTTTTAAAGATATTTATTAGGGGTAGTTTTGTGTTTGGACAAGGGGAGATCCTGTCGTTAACCCATCCCTTCTCTCCCTTTGTCCCGTCACAGAACTCTTTGGATCCTGTGAACAGAATACTAGGTGTTTTGTGAATGGAAAAGGGTAGAGGAAGGGGAGAGTAAACATCATGGTCCCCGCACTGTACAAGAGCGGAACTGTCAGTCACAGTGCTGGAAGAAGGGCGATGTGTGTAATATCCAGGATGAACAGATACAGTAGCCAACAGCGCTCTGGAATTGGCATGCTCTTCATTTGTGGTCGTCGTCCCCCCCCCAAAAAGTGAGTTCCACTCTAACATGTACTTATCTGCATCATTATGAGTACCATGCCTGATAGTGAATATACACCTAAAAATCTATGATTGAGTTATGTACAAGCTGGCATAAACAAGCTATCCGTTATTGATTAAAATATCAAATGATGCAGCACGCACTGTATTGTTCTACACTTTGTGAATGACCAAAAATGCCATTTGTTGTAGACAATCCTAAAATAAAAGGATCATTTCATTGATTTTAATTCCAATCAGTTTTCCGACACAAGCAGAAAAACAATTTTTTCTCAATCGGAAGATCAAACAAAATTCCACCATGGCTGATTGAAATTGATTGAGAGCTCACAAAATCGATCCAACAGATGGTCTTTGTTTTGCAGTTTTTATTCACTTCAAACTGTTTAGTCGCATTGGTTGATCAATTGAATGATCCCACCCATACGTGTGTGTGTGTGTGTGTGTGTGTGTGTGTTTGTGTGTGTGGGGCCAGCATGAAATATATTGTTGAAAATGGCTGACAATAACAGAGTATGCATCTAAAATTGTTCTCGTTCTTTTGTTTCCTTAAACTTTAGTCTTGCTGGCTATTAAATACTGGATGAAGCAGAAGGCTGGTCCATTTATTTGGCTTTCGGCGTTGGCCATTATTGTGTTCAGATCTGAGCTGTGTATATTAATGGGACTCATGCTGCTAATATCTCTAATGAAAAGAAGCATTTCCATGTTTACAGCCCTTTCCCATGCAGTTCCAGCTGGAATTGTCTGCTTAAGTGAGTATATTTATAGTTGTTGGTCTAATAAATAACTTTTATTTGTTAAGAATAATGACTTCAATTCTGATGGGTTGTAGAACAGATTTTGTTTCTGCAACTGTCTAAAGCAGTGGTTCTCAACTCATGGGTCGCGACCCAAAAGTGGGTTGCGAGCCCTTCTGCAGTGGGTCGCGGCGCCATCACGGCAATCACGGGTCAACTTGGTGGGTATGTCAACATTTTCAGATCATATACTCTATAGCAGGGTGAAAGGTGGGAATCCCAAATCTCTAGCTAGTTTTCATAACTTGTACTGCCCTAAAGGTTTAGGAATCTGCGTGGAAGTTACTTTTTAGACCTTTGTATTGCATGACAGATGAACAAGTGTTACATAATGAAACAACTTGCATGCATTTACAGAGGTCTGATGGGGCTTCTTATGTTTTGATTCAGCTATCAAGTCTAATTTCAATAAAAGAAAGATCAATAAAGAACCTTAGTTGTGAGGATTCTCTCATTGTTTCAGTCTCCTCTTGGTGTGATGCTGTCGTCTTTATATCTCAGCAAGATCTCTTTTTTTGTTGGCTTCCCTGCCACGCTTTCTCTTTCTAAGCCAAGGTTACATCCTCCAGCGTCATTGCACTTCCTGCATGTTCTTATTACGGTCGCGTGACTTGTGCAAAAACTCTAAATAAGTGTTAGAGGGAGAAAACAAAGCATACTTCTTTGTGTTCAAACATTTTATAATTAAAATTTCTGAACAATACACTCAAAAGGTTCTTCCTTGGCCTTGATTCATTCTTGTGATTACATGAATAGTGTCCCTGGGTGTTCCATCGCATGTAATAGCCAAATGTCCTTTTAAATCTTCTGACACAGCTTGGGTTGCTCTCAGCATAAAAGGGAACAAATATCTTTCAGAAGTTTGTCAGTTTGAAACTTGTTGGGGTGAAGTACCTTTTGACTCCCTTGTTGGCAAATAGTAAGATGACAATGTCAGGAGATTTGTACTTTGGTGGAACACCAGAGGCACTGATTGTGTGACACTGTGAAGCCAAGAAAGAATTGTGTGAGGGTAATTTCAAGATTTGTATACCGTATATACTCGAGTATAAGCCGAGATTTTCAGCCCATTTTTTTTGGCTCAAAAGTGCCCCCCTCGGTTTATACTCGAGTCAGTGGGGTCCAGTGGTCAGGTTTCTTCTTACTTACCTCGCCGAGCGTCGCGTCACTGCACATAAGCAAGTGTGCTTTGTTTTCTGCACAACATTTGATGTGCTATTGAGCAGACATATGTTGCATGAATGTGATGGAAACCAGGAATAGTCATTTGAATGCTAATGAATGGGGGAGGGGGGTGGAAAGAGAGCTCAGTTGTAATATACAAGTTTCTGTGTTAAAATACAGAAAGTGCATATGCTTGCTTCATGTACAGTTGGTGTACATTGCTGGCATATGGTTTAAAAAAAAATACTTCTGCAAGAGGTGGAATAGGGCTTTACGTCCTGACTCACAACTGACTGTTTTGCAGCTTGAAGCCAAAGCTCCAAAACCGTCAACAATCCAAATCCCATGTTTAATTGTGCCAGTTCACATATGTGTATTTCAAGGCTAAACAACCATTAACTTCTCGTATTACCTTGCTTTTTATTGGTGTGAATGCAGCCTAAAAGTCATCTCCAGTCACCTGGCTTGCTGTAAATGCATAGCTGAAATGTATGAACTGTCTTACCTAAAAAGTGTGATTCTACTGCTTTTGTAGTTCACATACTTTAGATACACTGCATGGCCAGGTTCATGTCATCTCTTCCTCTTTTTCAGTTAAGAAATACAGTGGTGTTACTTCCCTGCACCAGCCTGTTGATTTAAACAACAGCACACTGTTAAAGTCAATGCTGTACTTTCCCCTTGTGCAGACATGTGACCTGTCTGGCAGCACTTTGCAATGTAATAAAGCCCTCACTGGTTAAGACTGCTGCCCCTCCTAGTCACATTGCTGCCAAGCAGGTGATAGTAGAAAGCTGATATAAAAGACAATATAGGGTACTTATAACAGCCGAGTTAAAATATGATTTTGGACAGCACAGTGGCTTAGTAGTTAATCCCAGTGCTGCAAGGCCAAAGTCCTATTGATTGCCAGCCAGGACATCATCTGCATTGTGTTTGCATGTTCTCGCTGTGCTTGTGTTTGGTTTCCTCCATGTACTCTGGTTTCCTCCCAAAGACATACTTGTAGCATGTCTAAATTGCTTTAGACTACTGTCTAAATTGGCCCGTGTATGTGTGACCTTAGATTGTAAGCTTCTTGAGGGCAAGGTGTGATGTTCATGTACAGTATGTATAGCACTGCATAAATTCTTAGAGCTATATAAATTATAATAATAATACTACTCTCAACTAGATACCTCTTCCAAATGGTATGTGTTTTGTTTTTTTTTCCCTCCTGGAGTTAAGCTTTCATTTACAGCAGATATTCCTTTATTTTCTGTCACTTTAGGTTTAACAACTGCTGTAGATTCTGTCCTCTGGAAACGTATTCTATGGCCGGAGGGAGAAGTTTTGTGGTATAACACAATTTTGAATAAAAGTTCAAATTGGGGAGTATCCTTTAAAGTGTATTTACCAGCTAGCTGAAAGATCGGTTGGGTCCAACATGCTATCCTGATAATGCTGTAGTTTTTGAAGCCAAGCTCTAGCCATAGGGAGTTGAAATGTGTGTTAGAACCTCTGGCAGCTTTGCTGTCTGTGTCTCTATTGAAGAGATGCACCCTTGTTCTATCAAAAGATTGTGACTGGGTTGGAATGTGTGACAGGTCATGTGGTCACACATTTTAACGTAATCGCGCCCACTCTTTCGGCGGTGGAATATGTGACTGGCAAAAGGTGAAGAATTCCAACGCTTTCTCAGCTGACTTTGTGGAATGTGAGACCGCACTCACAAAGTCGGATAGAAGTGACATTTCAGGACCGATCAGCTCTTCCATGGCAGATCGGTTCTCCTGCACATACCAACCGCGATGTAGGTCTGCTCTGGAACAGCTGAGAAGGCGTTGGAGTTCTTCACCTTTTGCCGGTCACATATTCCACCGCCGAAAAAGTGGGCGGGATTACATTAAAATGTGTGACCACATCACCGGTCACACATTTTAACGCAGTTACAAACTTTGATAGAACAACCCTCATTACTTGTCCTAATTGAGATGTGATGGGATATCTCTCTAACAAGGACAAAGAAACATTTGACCATATGCACATAGCTATTGTATGTCTGTAAATATGAATAGGTGGCACCCATGCTGAACTTCTGAAACTACTGTCAGAAAATAATGAGACGTATAGTGATGCCATTCACCAACAGATGAAAAATCCTAGCTGGGTTTGTCCTCCCTTTACATTTGATTAGCCTTTAAGGCATCATTGGGCCAAGAGATATGATTGTGCTACATACCTGGCCCAATTTTTGTCAGATTAAGCCCACAACTGCCTGATCTGTCCAGTAATTGGTATGTGCAATGTGTGATGCATCCATCGTTACTGCAAGGTAATAATAATCACATTAACATAACTAGGGAATTGTACATGATTACAAACTCCATGTGGTTATTTTACCTGTCTCTTTTAGCTTTTATAGCCAGTTGTAAGGCAAATTGGACAGCTCTTAGTATGCTGAAAAATTGTAAACACCTATGATTGGTCCAAGTTTTACTCGGAAGAGGCTGCATTTTGACAGCTGCCTCTGCTCTGTAATACATAATGATTCCCGGCTGTCATTTTTGACTGGGGTGGGGGTGAGAAGCTGAATGTAGGTGATATGTCTTAGAAACGTTATTAAACTTTTATAGAGCATATCATTAATGCTTTAAATCCTGAAGTGGGTAAAGCACTGCGAGTACAGAAAACTACCTGTTTGATCTGCCAGAAATGTATTGTGTTGTAAGTGAACAACACACAGCATTTTTGTTGACTGAGTGGTGTCAAGCTTGCCTATCTGTCTTTTGCTGAACTACCTAAACCCATCCCCTAACCTATTTGTCACAACATAAAGACTAATCATTCTGTAGTCCCAAGAGAAAGATTACAAAGGCTAATTAGATTCCTTAAGAGAACAAAAGACACAGGACAACTCTGAATTTCTCAACGGGTATTTTTTTTTTTGTACTCCACAAATCAAAATAAAAACACTTTCATATCTACCAGACCAAAATGTAGCAAAGGAGATGTTCTTTGTTAGGTGTTCTGTACCCGCTACGCATACCCTGTAGCTTAGCATGCAGCTAAATTTTGCAATAAGCCAGACTGAGTGAAATCTTGATGCTTTATGAACAACACGGGGTGGAGTAAAACTGGTGAGAAAGAAACATACCAATCATTATGTAAAACCTATAAATACAGTAACAGCTTACAAATACAGGGAGGGATGAGTCCATTCAGACTAGTGATGCTGCCTAAGAGGATTTTAGGCCATTCCCGACAGACACCTGCTGCAATACGATGTGATGCATATGTTAATTGGGACTGTGCGATTACCGCACTGTACTAGTGTGAACGGGCCCTCAAAAACACTGACACACAAGCACAGACACAATCCCACACACACATATACACTCAAAAAATGTATTTCTTTTTTTCTTGAGGTCCAACCAGTCTCCCTAATTTACGAGAACTGGAGTGGATCGTCAGCCTGGGGTCCAATGTGGGCTGCTGTGACAGAGGTCTATACATATGTACATTGCTTGTACAGCTCTCTTGCGTGCCCTGTAGAGGTGCCGGGAGCCAAAATGTGATGTTGCTCTGTTCCAGGCACCTCTACAGGACATGCGAGGGAGCTGTAAGCAATGCACATATGGATGGAGCTCCTTAACGACCATACACACAGCCTACCCCACCTCAAGCTGATACTCGGTGCTGGGCAGCATATTTTGAATGGTTGCTTGGCGCAATAACTTACACTGGGTTCACACCTTAGCGTATTGGACACGCTCGTTTGCCGCGCGTCAAACGCGATTTTCCGAGGGGGTATCCAGCTTATAACAGCGGGATACTGGCGTTAATACGCCCCACAGAAGCTCAAGTACTTCTTTGGGCGTATGGCGTTTTACCAAGCGATCGAACGGGCGGTAAAACGTGCAGGTGAGAACCATGCCCTTAGGCAAACATGGGTTTTCACCTGTTGCGCGTTTTACCGAGCATAGGAACGCGCGGTAAACCGCTCAGGTGTGAACGGGGACTAACAGTGCTGCGCTAGGGGGAGGCTGAGGAGCCTCTCACCTAGAAAAGTGGAAGGCATGCAGCGACCCACTGAACACGGGGTCGCAACCCACATTTGGGTCAGTTGAGAATCATGGCAATTAGAAACAGATCGCACTTCAAGACAGCTTGAGATGGTTTGTGGCTCTCACACATTTTTTAAAATCTCTTCAACTGAGACTTCTGTTTTTTATAAAAAAATATATATTAAAAACAGGTTGACCTGAGTGCTTGCTATTTTTTAATGGTTTATTTTAATTGTGCATTTTCTGGGGATGCTTCCTCCGGAGTGTTACTTTTTCACAGGCTGTAAATTAATTGACCTCTTGCCAAGTAAAAAAACAAAAACAAATGTCTTATGTTGACTTTTTGAAATGCCTAAAAAAAATGCACTTGGTCAAATTAAACATATATACATTAGGGATGCCCTGATACTAACCCTTTAAATAGTTAAACCGCTGCTGTAAGGTCCTGCGCTTGCTGGGGACCTCAACAGCCTGCTGGGGACCTCACGCCGGCTGTCTTTAACAGCACCCGGTCCGGCCATACGTTGCCATCGCCTCCTTTTTACTGCCCACGCAGCCCTGGGGAGACAGTACATGCAGCCCCATTGAGATCCCCGCACATCCTCCTGAGATCCTGCATAGCCCTGGTGAAACTGCACACATCCCTGATCAGACTCCGCACAGCCTCCTGAGACCCTGTAACAGCCATGGTCAGACGCCGCAAAGCCCTGGTGAGCAACATAGTACGCAGCTTCATATTCTGCATTGCTTCATATTGTATTGCCAAGAATATGTAGCCCTCCATAGCTGATAGTATTCTGCATTGCTGCATAATGTATTGCTGGGATTTGTAGTCCCTCTATAGCTTGAACTCAGGGGCAGAACTACCAGGGTTGCCGTGTTTGCAGCTGTGACTGGGCCATGGTGCTCCACAACTCTCCTAAAATCATTAGTCTGTATTGTTTTAGAAAAACCGCCACGTGACCCTAAAAAAAAAAAAAAGGTATCAGTAATTGGTATCGGCGAGTACTTGAGGAAAAGTATCGGTACTCGGTCTTGAAAATAATGGCATAGGCGCAACCCAAATAGAAATAATGATATAATTTTGTTCAGCCTTTTCTCAGACAGCTTTCCTTATCTGATATCTTTAAGACTTCACCGTTCCTGTGGTATTTTTATTCAGTCATACCACGAGCGTTGGCATTAAGCGTCTTCTTCCTGCCGTTTGGCCTTTTTGACAGGAGACTGCGTCTCCTGATTGCACCAATTGTGGGTTTCATATTTTTATACTCTTTCCTTCCTCACAAAGAACTACGGTTTATCATTTACACATTTCCTGTTTTAAACATTGTGGCTTCTAAAGGATGTTCATATATGTAAGTACAAAGGAAACTTGCTTAATGCAAAAAAGGTTTAATGTGAAAGGTTAGATGCCTAGTGTTAGCCTAAAGTGCAGCTAGAGATTGGGGTGTATATTTTTACTGGTGTATTCTCTACCTGAATCTAAAGCTTCTTGCTTTGTAAACTGTAAAGTATATTTAAACCCAAGAACAGAAATGTAATGTATTGCAACTTACCGCTCCATATATGTGCTGGATGCATTTGTTTTCTTTTTTTTGAGGCAAGTACAGAAAATACTTGTTAATCCTGTCAAAAATCCAGTGTGCTTGTAACTTTCTGTGCACTTAACTGATAACATTAGACTATTTTATTGGCTCTTACCAATTCTTTTCTGCGATCACCATTGTTATAGTGATGAGGAGTGGGGGAATTGTTTGTTGTCCAAATCAGGAGAGCACCTAGGGTGACAATGCACACTCCATAGATACAGTACAGTAAGTGAGCGTTGTCACTCTAGTACAGGAAGTACATTACTGGCAGGATCACCGGATGAACACTAAGGCCTCATTCACACACACAACGCAAAATTGCATATATACGCGCGTATGTATTCGAATATATGTGCGTTTATGCGTGCACTATATCCAATCCCAGAATGCATAATTCGTAATAGAAATTTTAATGAACTGTACGCACTTACGCGTGTATGCGCGTAAAATAAGCAGAAATAGGCTGCCCGGACGCATCTTGGTTCCATTTTGTTTTTATGATACGCAAATATACGGTTCCATACGCAGCTATGTGTATGGAGCCATTTATTTGCATATGGGACAATACGCACGCACCCGCATATATGCGCGGCAGGGTGAATGAGGCCTAAAGCAAAGATGCTTGAAAAACCACTGATGCAGCTACTACATCTAAGGAGTGATAAGCTGCATTTTTTTTTTTTGTTCTTGGGTTTCGGTATGCTTTAACCACTTTATTCCCAGAGCCTTTTCCTCCTCTCAGCTTCCTTAAATCCCAGTCTTGGTTCCACATCTTATATCTTTGAGCTATTGTAGTTTGCCCTAACCTATGTTACAACCTTTTTCTTGATGCACATAAGGGTTTAATTTGGCAGCGGATATGGATACATATATTTTTATTTCCTACGCTTTATTTAGGAAGGAGTGAAAAATATTAACCAAATAAAACTTACATAAGGCTCAATTCACAAAGCGTTACACCAGCCTAAAGCACTCTATTTTCAGGCATGACCCAGTCATTTTCAACCCGTATTGGATTCAGCTAAAAAAGAAAAATCTTCTTTTTTTTTTAAAACAAGTATAGTTGTTCTTGTGTGTTAGTTATGTGAATTGCACCTATTCTGAGGAATGATAACGCTCAAATTAAACTTTACATTTTAATTTGAGTTTTCTATTAATAGCAATAAGATCAAGTCGGATTTTAACTGACAACATTTTCACAGATTTGTAATTGCTAACATTCCCATCGACATTGCAGATCTCATGCTTATGTAAAGGAGTGCAATCAGCCAGGAATTGGTCACTAAAGGTGCCCATACACTGCTCGAATTCTCGTACGAGAATAGCGGGAAATCCCGCGATCGTACGAGAATCGAGCAGTGTGAACGAAGACGTGCGACCGTTTCTACTGTACAGTCGCACGTCTTTTGTCAAACCAGCATGCTCGAAAACCCGCCGAGAATCGTACGATTGTCGGCGGATTTCTAGCCTGCTCGTTCGACAGCTGAGGAACAGGCCGGTGTGCGCACGCTGCCCGTTCTGCATTGCGGTCATCGAAAGCCCGCCCCGCAAGTACGATCTGCCTGTCCAAGATGGGCAGATCGTACGAGCTCTTAATAAGCTTACGACCATCGCAAGACTAAAGTCTTGCGATAGTCGTAAGGTATATGGGCACCTTAATGAAGTGATCTGTTGCTTCTGGAGGAGGCAGAGAAGAGTTGGGTCAGCTGACAGGAAGTGCCCTGACATCACATTTTTTTCCTCTGAAGCATTGTGTTTCCTGATAGGGCTTGCTCTTATGGAGCACCCTGCAGCTTAATTGCAAACTCAGAAGCTGATCAGATAAGCTTCTGGGATTAGTACTTGGCCTTTGGCTGTTACTGACCGCTGGTTGTTCTTGGAGTTAACCACGCTGGGAACAGCTGAATCTGGGTGCGCGTTTAAAATGAATTTGGGACAAATCGCTGTTATCCAATCAAGATTTTAAAATGGCACCTGGATTCAAGTGGTTAAAGCCAATATTTGTAAAGTGTTGTTTTTTTTTTACTTTTGCCACATACATGAATTTAGAACCTGCAAAAGTGCTCTAAATGCTGGCATACTTGACACAGCTGTGGTGGCTCAAAGACATCTAGTGCCAATCATTGCATCCCATTTCCATGTTAGTTTATCACCTGCAGCTCCTGCAGAAGCTTCAAGACTCTCTACCAGGTTGCCAATCAGCTCGCTCCTGTGATGGACTACAATTAAGGTGCCCATACACCTTACTTGCGATGGTCGTAAGCTTATTAAAAGCTCGTACGATCTGTCCATCTTGGACAGGCAGATCGTACTTGCGATCATCGAAAGCCCGCCCCGCTGAGGGGCGGGCTTCCGATGACCGCAATGCAGAACGGGCAGCGTGCGCACACCGGCCTGTTCGGCAGGTGTCGAACGAGCAGGCTAGAAACCCGCCGACAATCGTACGATTCTCGGCGGGTTTTCGAGCATGCTGGTTTGACAAAAGACGTGCGGCCGTACAGTAAAAACGGTCGCACGTCTTCGGTCACACTGCTCGATTCTCGTACGATCGCGGGATTTCCCTCGATTCTCGTAAGAGAATCGAGTAGTCTATGGGCACCTTTAGTAAACTAAACGTGAGAATATAGTACGTTGAGAGAGTGAGCTTGGAGCGGTGGCTACTTTACAACACACACGGGGACCATGGGGAACAAAAGTAGTCACCCTCCAAAAGGAAGAACAGTGTCTGCACCAATTCAGAGATGATTTGAGGATCTACAGCTGACTGATGCACAAATAAGATACATTTATGTTAATAGTTGGAGGACTATGAAGTGAGTGATTTTATAGTTAGAGCCGACATGTGACAAAGAAACTGTCACAGGTCGGCTCTATTGATCGGGAAGTGAGCGAACACATTCCGTTGCTCGCTTACTTCCCGATCATCCCCCTGCAGAGTGCGGTGACTGTAGGTCACCGCTCCCCGCATGGATTCCCCCTTCCCCTCTCCTCCAGCGCTGATTTTGGAGGAACGGATGGGGGAGGGCACAGCTCTAGATAGGCAAAGCCCACTGTTAATCAGCCAGCTGGGTGGATCTCGACAGTATTGCCGGGATCCGTCCCGCCTGCAACACTTTTCGTATAAAGCCGGCAATGGCTCGCTTTATACTGAGCTTTGAGTCACAGGAGGACGTTGGCATATGTCCTCCCATGACCCTAAAGAGAACTCTGGGATAAAAAGGTTACCCCATAGTTCTCTTTAAAGGTACTTGAATGCATTTTTAGATTTAACTCCTGAGTTTAGTGTCACTTTTAAGTAGGTCTTGTGAATCCTAATACATAATTTTGTTTACTATTTTCTAGATTCCAGAACTACCGTAAATCTTGGCTATTTAAATTTGGATCTTTATGTGTAATAGCCCATCTTCTGGGTAATGCAGCCTACTCTGCAGGATCTTTATATGTGTCCCATTTCAATTATCCTGGAGGTGTTGCAATGGACGTGTTGCATAAAATGGTTAATCCTTCAGCAGGTATGATTTTATACTAAATAAGCAGGATTTTCCTTATTGCATCCTATTGTTCAAAGCACTTGTGAATCAAGCTGGAATGAAGTTAAGCCTACAGAGAAGGGCGCATCTAGTAATTCCCGTGATCACCCCACCCACACTGAATGTCCAGCTCCCGTAAGCAGTCCTTTTTTTGCGGCCATGTTCCTAGTATATGCTCAGGAGCTACTATGAGAGCCTCTTGGTGCAGTATCACTGTCATGGCTCATTATAGTGTTAAAAATATATATATATATAATTTATTTTATGCCTTTAGATGTATCTGTACATATAAATGTGACTGCTGCCCAAACTGGAGTGTCGCGATTCTTACAATTTCACTCACATTGGAGGTATGTGGTAATATTTAAAATGAATAAAAGATGAAGGCTGTCTTTATTTTTGCAATTTGTGACTGACTGTAGAGGTGCCCATACACCTGCCGATTATCGTACTATAATCGCGGGAAATCCCGCGATCGTACGATAATTGTCAGGTGTATGGAAGGCGTGCGACCGTTTCTACATGTCTCTTGTCTTACGACATTGTCTTGTCGTACGATTGTTGGCGGGTTTGTAGCCTGCTCGTAAGACAAATGCCGCAAGCTCACACTCCCCGTTCAGCATTGCAGTCATCGGAAGCCCGCCCCTCAGCGGGGCGGTCTTACGATGATCGCAAGTACGATCTGCCTGTCCAAGATGGGCAGATCGTACGGTTTTTTTAATTGCCTTACAACCATCACAAGACAAAAGTCTTGCGATGGTTGTAAGGTGTATGGGCACCTTAATGGAAGTTGCCATCCCACGCAGCACCCTGACATCTGCTGCAGAAGCCCAGCTTAAATACTGTATCTGTCTCTTGGTATTCGGCCTCTTTCCTACTCCCAGTTTAGAAGTAATAGCTCTTGGGACTCAGGATACCTACTTTGTTCTGGGAAACAGAAATTCTTAGTTTTAGTTTCTAAGCGGCCATGTGGTCTTGTACACCCGAGAGCTGCCCTCAGAATTATGTCGCCACCTATAGGGCTTCTCCCCCCGTAATACTAATGAAACAAATCTCAAACTAAAGGACCATTGAGCTAGAGACGGGTGAAAAATGTTCTGCATATTAATAGAAATTCAGAATGTTGGTGCTGGTTGTTTTAGGGCTGTGAATAAAGTATGTTAGCAGTAGATTTGTATATAGGGGAGGTGATAATCCCAGAACATTTGGAAGAATTTATAAAAATCTGGAGCAGTTGCCCAGAGTAAGCAATTAGCTTCTCGGTTTCATTTTCAAAGCTTAACGAAACAAACTGAAAAGAGAAGCCGATTGGTTGTGCTCCAGTTTGTATGTATTCCGCCCATTGTTTTTACTATATCCAGCTATGGAGAACCTGCAAGTGGCAAAGCCTCTGCCAGACCTTCTTTGCAGCTGAAGAGTCCTAAGCTATATCACTCTGGATACACTTTTTTGTAATTCAACTTAGAGAGCCAAGCACAATTGAACATATTTAAGAATATTTTATATTCGGGTAATCGTGCAAGCTTACCCACAAAATAGGTATATTTGCTTCATTTACTTGCTGGCCTCCTTCTAGAAAGTCTGGTTGTGGGTAAATGACTATGAATGCAATGAAGCAAGATCATTGACTTAAGAGAAGGAACTATAATTTTTAGAGGTCAGTATTGTCCCCCCGCATATTTTCTAATGACAAGTGTACATAAAGCTTAGCAGCCGAGAGTTCTTTTTTAAAAAAAATTCCAATTTCTCTGTGCACATGATAGGATGCTTCAATTCAAGCATCCTCTCAACCTAATGCAAGGCACATTATGCCTGCGGTCTGGTCCGAACAAAATGCTGCAAGCACTATTTTGTTCGGACCGGACAGCAGGCATAATGTGCCTTGCTGTCCCGTGAGGCCGATCGCACTGCGGCCGGAGGGCGTGGCTACGCTGCCATTCACTTCAATGGACCACCACGCCCCCTCCTGCCCCACAACATAGTGAGCCGGCCGCACTGCATCTGGTGTGACTGAGCCCTACAGGAGCCATGGATTGGAGTAAAACCTAACACTGGTTCTAATCTTACTACCATTCTATAAATGTGAAAATACAATGTATTGAAAGAGAGAAGGTCCAAAATGTAATATCAAAGCTTTTGTTACAGTACATATAAGTGTTACTATAGGTTCATTATCAAATGTGTTTTTTATGCTTTTTCTTTCTCAATTACATTACACCTTTCTTCATACAAAGTACACCAGGTGGTTGCATTATTGAATTACAGGCCCCCCTCAGGTGTTTCCAGGAGTCTTTTACATCTTAAGCTTCTTGTGAGCCCCAAACCCTCAGGGAAAATATGCAAGGCTGCCCATCACATGAAGTCCTAGTAGAGCGTTGTTGAATACAGTGGGTCTGCCCTGGACTGTCTAACCTTATAATTGACATTTGGATATTAGAATATTCTAGCTTTCAGGACGCTACTGAAGATGGTGAAGGTTATGTCCTGCGTGTTAGTCAGATGATCACCTGTCATACTTTTCCTTGTAAAGAGAGATCTGCTATCATTTTCCTACACTATTTAGCTAGTTGTAATATGAGCTGTATAAAGTGGATGCATGTCAGCGTGAGTATTGATGTAGACATTAACACTTTTTTTTTTTTTCTTTTGTGGTAAAGGTATGACAAAAGAGAAGATGTTACACCTACAGAAGCTATGAAACTCTACTCGCACATCATAATGGAATTTGATCCTTCTTATGTGTCTCAGTATAAAAATAACTACAAAGTATTAAGCCATATATCAGGCTTTGATGGATTTGGGTTTAATTTTGATACATTTCCACCCATTTACCTCAAATTGTTAACAAAATTAACTATTTTGGAGAGGTCCCCGACTGTATAATGTATTTTTTAATCATTACAATTTGCAGTTTGGATGTCGAATGAGACCTCTAAGCAAACAGTACCATCTGGTTTCCAAACTAAGGACCTTCGTGAGTTTTCCAAATAAACAATGCAGTACTGTGAAGTGACTTTTCTAATACAATAATATGCTGTTTGTGCTTTAACTTTGAGCCCAAATTTTCGTAAGAAAAAAAGAAATGACATGTTTAAATAGAATTTTCATTAAACAAAAAGTAAAAATATGAAGTTAAATGTACGGCTGTTTACTTTAACTTTCCTTTATCAAACCCATATTGAACTGGCCTGCCTTACATCTGTTATCGTTTACTGCAAGTTTTATTTACTGTTATCCGGTATTCAACAAACCAGAACTCTCATCTAACCAGAAGAACAAGAAATCCCCTGTGTACTCACTGATCTGCATGTATTATCCTGGAAACAATCGTGTGCCAATTGGTCTTAATTTGCTTTTGATTACTGCATTTCAATATTATGAAGTCAATACAGAGTTATGAAAAGGCAGAGCCTAACCCTAAGGTCTCGTTCACACCTAGGCGTATTGCATATGCGCGGTAAAAAAAGTCACGCGGCCGTCGCGCGTTTCCGAAGGCTACTTGGCTGTATCCTAATGGAAACGCGCAACAAAACGGCCTAAAGTAGTACATGTACCTTTTCAGGCGTGGGCCGTTTTGTAGCGCGTTAGGGACGGGCGGAAATACACCAAGGTGGGAACGAGACCATTAAATACAATGGGATTTATATTTTTGAGCGCTTTGTAGAGCGTTCGTCGAGCGTAGAACGCGCTACAAAACATTCAGGTGTGAACGAGGGCTTAGGCATGTAAAAAGGACCTGTCTAACCCCCCCAAGAAATGAGGAACCCACAGGGCCCACTGCAAGGTCCTTCAAGCAGTACAAAAAAAAAAGGAAGAAAATAAAGATGACAAAATATTCATCCAACCAGT